CGCGTCATGCAAGGCGAGTCCAGCCAGCCCACGGGCGGGGCGGCGTCAAGCTGCAGTATAAAAGAATGCGGACGAAGGGAGAGCAGCATCAGTTTCTTACCGCTGACCAGCATCTGCAGACATGAAGGTTGGGTTGCATGGTGGGAGCATCACAACCCTACCGTATGCGCTTAACGCGGGTAACGTTAGGAAGTCAGTGGTGTTGACTTATATCAAAATCTGTTTAATGTAGTGCAGTCAACTGTGAGCCTTTTCGGAGGGCTTCTTTTCTTTTCGTTACTGTAAGCATTAATGGAGGGTTTCTTTTCTCTTGTTTCGCAAGTTGTTTTTCTCATTGCCTATTTCTGAATACGACCGTGTAATTTTTGTTACAAATGCAAGCGCAAAAAGTGCATAAATAGGCGCGTCATCCTTCACAATGACTAACTGATATGCTGCCATGACCTTACTTTTGCTTCACAAAGAGATATTTTCTAATATCCGCGCTGGCTAAAGCTATAGCTAAGCAGACATTTGATAAAACTGAGCAGGCGTCATAAATCATGCGGACCGTCATGCGGTCGCGAATTCAGTAAATGTTTGAATGCAAAGCCTAACCATCAGCGTAATTCCGAATGTATCTGTCTTGTCTTATGTTTCGAGAGCTGGACTCATAACTTCTACAGCAACGCCATTTGCAGCTGGCTAAATTTTTCAGCTAGCACACTGCTTTTCCCCCGCAATGTAAAAATGGCAGATCGTGTTTCCATCGCCTTCATGCTGGACTCGTGTTTTCAGCTGATTATTTTCTCGGCACTCGTGGTTGCCGCTTCGGCCGGGAGATCCTATGGAGGGGGCCTCGGAGGTCGCCTAGGACGTGGTTTTGGAGGAGGCGTCGGAGGCGGCTACGGACGGGGTGGCTCCGTCGACTACTACGCCGTGCCCGACTACAACACCGCTTACTCCATCAAGGACGGCTACTCCGGTGTGGACATCGATTCCCAGGAGAACCGACATGGTCAACAGACCGAGGGTTCCTACTCTGCCCAGCTGCCCGACGGCCGAAGACAACAGGTCACCTACTGGGTGGACGGCGACTCGGGCTACAACGCTGACGTCCAGTACTACGGCGTGGCCAAACACCCGCAGACCCCCGTCAACAGCTATGGAGGCGGCTTCAGGTCTGGCTCCGTGGGTGGTTACGGAGGTTATGGTTATGGCGCTGGAGGCGTTGGCTCTCTTTGGAGCGGACGTGTTGGCGGTCATGGCTACGCTGGCCGTGGTTATGGCAGCTACCACTGATTCCGCCAGATTGGTTTCTCGGACCCACGCATTCGCAACGTCTGTATCGAGGTAGTTATCTGTTATCTGCGTGTACTTCGTCTTTGGTTTACGTAACCCTGTATAAATGTGTGCTATCCTATGTGTAGGTGTTATTTGTTGGTGACAGCAGCAATACAGTGCCAGCAGCTATAGACCTTTGCTTTGCGAAATTGCATCAAGGCTGAAGCCTGCACACTTGCGTCAGTTACAGGTCATCCAGAGTACAAACTAAGTCACACTACAAGAGCTGTGTTCGCAGTAGGATTTAGGGTAACTTTAGAAGAATAAGACCGCAGTTGTTTTAATTATACAACGTCATGGGCTTGCGTCTGACCTGGCGTAATTAAGCCCAGGAGCCATGCAGAGCGCACGAGGGACCATTTAAAAAACTTTGATCCTGATTATTAGCGATGAGATTGGGCCGTGACTTGCCTCTTCTTGGTTTGGGGGTGTAGGAAGCAACATAAACGCAGCATTTAGTTGGTACATCTCCCCCCCCCCCCCCCCCAACGCAAACGGGCGGGACTCGTGCACCTGAAGACTGGTAGGAACCCTATTGCAATTGTAATTGATGATGACGCAATTGATGCAACTACAGTGTGGTTTTATATAGCATACAATAGGATCGCATGCAGCAGGGGTGCCATTTTATATTTCCTCGGAGGGGCTGACCACCGACACCCTACCCCCCGCGCCACCGAACTGAGCCCCATCCTTAATGCTGACTTCACCTTTCCCCTTAAATAATGCTCTGAGCCCCTGAATGCACGTGAGCAGAGAGGGATACTCGACCAAATGACCAAAAATGCACACATTTGTATTACTATTCATGTGCTAGGCACCTGGACATATTATTGCTAGCGCTATTCACATTTTGAACCAACTAATATCCTGTAGGTAAGTTATGTTTATGTTATGCCACCTCATTCACATGCTATGTCAGTTTGGAAGTGTTTGACAAGGTTTCCGTATGATAGCGCCTAGAATGATATGAAGAACTCTTGACTTCAATATACGACATCTATAGAAGTACTGTGTGGCCCAGATGAGAGTTATGCAACGTCTCTCTCAACAGCGGCAAGTGTAGTTGTCTCACAGTCGCGACTGGTGATATTCGACTGCCAACCGCATGACAAAACGCAATCAGCAGCGACAGTAGTCACGAGTGATTCAAAGCCCGTCAATGCATGCCGAGAGGTGCTTCAGATGGACCCTCTGCGGTCCAGTATGCACAACAGCTGAGCCTGCTGCAGGTGGCCGATTGTCCGGTCTAGTATGCACAACAGCTGAGCTGCTGCAGGTGGCCGATTGTCCGGTCTAGTATGCACAACAGCTGAGCTGCTGCAGGTGGCCGATTGTCCGGTCTAGCATGCGCAACAGCTGAGCCTGTTGCAGGTGGCCGATTGTCCGGTCTAGCATGCACAACAGCTGAGCCTGCTGCAGGTGGCCGATTGTCCGGTCTAGCATGCACAACAGCTGAGCCTGCTGCAGGTGGCCGATTGTCCGGTCCAGCATGCACAACAGCTGAGCCTGCTGCAGGTGGCCGATTGTCCGGTCTAGCATGCGCAACAGCTGAGCCTGCTGCAGGTGGCCGATTGCCCGGTCTAGTATGCACAACAGCTGAGCCTGCTGGCTGCAGGTGGCCGATTGTCCGGTCGATTGCCCCAAGCTGTCACGCCCCATCGTAGGTCTAAAGATGCCCGTAAGCTTCTGATGGTGTGCACTGGTGTGCTGGTGTGCTGTGGTGTGCTCTCGTGAACGTGGTTTGTGATGTTGCCCCTCTACACGAAGTCTAGGGGCGACAGGTGGGACGAGCCCTCGTCCCGAGCGATCCCGTAAAGTCGCCCAGGTCCGCCCAGAAGGGTATCAGAGGGAGCGATGCAGCGCTCTGAGGTGGTGTTGGCAAGATAGTCGTTATTGTCCTCAAAGAGGCACATTCTGTACAGTCATGACTTCACGAAGGTGAAATCCCTGATCGATTTCATTTTGTTTTTGAAATCACTGACCACTACCATTGTCTGTGATCACATCTTGGCATCAAATGGTCATTGGCAGTCGTCTGAATGCCTGACAGTCTTGATTGTGCGAAGAAAAAGGATGTTGCTGTTCAACAAAACGTGGTTTAACTTTTATCTGGGTCATCTTGTACAAATGGTAGCTTCACATAGACATATATTTCGTATTGCTGCGGCTACTATACAAACTGGATGTATTTTTGACCCCATTCGTTGCGGCCACATCGGGAGACCTCAGATAGTGTTCCGTGTATCCGTTCTGGTAGGAAAGAAAAGATTATTTAGCAAGTCTTCGTTCGCCGGACTGGAGATCAGAAGATGGTCGCATCACTCCCCCGCTTGTGATAAAACGACTGATTTCTGAGAGGTCATATATAATGCCGAATCGTTGTGCTCCATGATCCAGACGACCACGAGTTTTTAAACATTAGTCAGATGAATGTTTTTTTGGAATGATAAACCACACTTGTTGGAAAAATCCTAATGTGATCGTGAAGTTTCGGGTCAACGGCAGGACTACGCGGCGATGTTTTAAACGTGTCACAATGCTCGGCATGATCCATCCCGGCCTCCGATGATACCTGGCTGTTCCCGGACCGCCGCCTCCGGCTGCAGCCTATTTCAGTCGCGAACAAATGCCTTTGCCAAAATGCCAAAAAAGTGAATGCCTAAGCGACTCGAACCCACCATGCCACAGGCCAGAGAATCCATGGCCAGGCAGTCCAACCAGCTGATCTGTCGAGACGGCCCCAATGACGGTACAAGAACCCAGTGAACAAGTACAATGTAAAACGGAATGATTTGAAATAAAGCTGCCTGGTGTATCTTCTACCGGGCTGTACCACAAAAGGGTTTTAAAAAATGGGATCAGCACAATTCTGTGCACTTTGTAGCAGAGTGAAGGAATATTGGGATGGCATTCCTTGTCTTTTGCGAGGAAATTTGCGCACACCAATGGTCGTGTTTATGTTTGTCATGGTTCATCACTACCTCCTGATACATCGCTGATGCACTGTTTTTAGCGTTAAAAGCTCCCAGCTCACCACCACAAAACACACAGATTCAAGGCCTTTCTTACTGATCTCAACTTCCAACATGCGTCAGAGCGTTGACCACGCCATTTTCAAAGGCCACTCCGGGGGACCATTCCACCATTCTTTACGTGCGCTGTCCTCCCAGCTATCGACATGTCTGTTGAGAATGTCGTATATGTCCAGTACGGAGAGGTCTGAAGTCTAGTATGAAATACGGCTGCGACGGTGCACATTTCACGACTAGCCATAAGGTCACCATGTTAACGTGCTCCTTTTCAGGCCCATGGTTTTCTAAATCTTTAACACATATGTGCACAAAAAGTGCATATGAATGAAGTTTCAACATTTCTCTTGCAGTTTTCGGGATGAAAAGCGTGCACCGTGACACTCCTTCCCCAACTATTAGGCAAAGCGTAGACCCATCCATGCGCCGCGATGTCCGGGCGTGATATCAAATCCTGTTGCCGCCAACTCTTTTCAACAGTGTTGAGATGGAGCACAGAGTGAACACGGTCACAGATTGGCGATATGAATGTTGAGTGCAACGATCTGGTCACGTCGTGTATAACCTGAAGATGCAGCTGTTGTAATTTGAAACGAGTTATTACAGGAGTTTTGTGAGTTACCACAAGAAATACACATATCTCTTTATGTGTATAAAATATACTTGGCACATATATGGCCTATGTCACGATGCTCCCTTAAAGCATTTGAAGAAAGGTTTTTTAGGCATAAGGAGAACACACATGCTTTTTTCACAGGCTACACTGAAAACGGAACTCTAAAACAAACTTTCACATTAGAAACACTTCACAAAAGATGTTTGGTGATTGAGCATAATGACACCAATTTGTTATTTTCCTCACCAAGCCCCGTAGTTTACAACTTAAACATCCATCCATTGATCCCAGGGAAGGAAAGGCATACCAAAGGAGCTGGAGTGAAATGGGCAGCTAAGATAGATTTAGAGGACACATTATTGTCACTGTTAAAAACATATGCAGCATAGGCTTAAGGCAATAAGAGTACCAAATGGACCTTAGATTGCCCCGAACCATACCCCAGCTATGTACATTCTTATCAAAATGCAATATGGATTGTTGATATTATATTTCTGTGCCATTTTCCATTCAACATATACTGCAATTATTACGAAGAGATTGTGTTGACATAAATTATATGATGATGTTGTGTAATGGGCATAATGCAGAGGATCGGGTTACAATGGAGCATTCAGAATATTGCAATATTTGACCCAAGCTTCATCTCCTACAAATGTAACAATGCTAAAATCCTGCCTTGAGTGAACAGGCATTGTATAATGTCATAATGAAGTTGTTTGCCCTGTACCCTGAATGATCCCTTTATTTCATCATAGGATTTAGCATAGATCCCAAAGATGTTTTATCTAGCTGACCAACCGTAAATTTCAAGCACATCACAAGCCGCTGCACCCATTAACTACAACATTCGCTACTTGCATTGAATACATTTACCAAGCACTGGCTGTTGTTTAATACGAAGTTTGCATTACAGGTAGTTGCATGGAACACTTCCATTTTGTGATGCCCCCCCCCCCCCCACACACACAATGTTGAAATGCGCCACCAAACGTTGGTTTGCCTTTCTCATCTTGCTGCTGAAATCTTACACCCGAAAAACTGGGGTGAAAGTTGCTAATGCACCATGATCACTTACTTTGGGTATCATTTGATGGCATTGGCTGAACTATTAGATGAATGAAACAACACTACAACATGAAAATAGCATTTGGTCAAGAAAAGTGTCCCAGACCCAAAGAGAAACACACATTGAGTGGAGGTGGGATGAGACAGCACAGCCCACCAATGATTTACACACATTAATTCCTCTGATTGGGAAAGACATAGCCCTACAATTTCACATAAGCTGAATGATGTCAGAAACTTAACCTATTTTTGACATCAGATGACCCGCTCTATACAGTGCAGGCTGATTATTCCTTTGGTTTAATATCATAGTAGGTGTGTGTACAACATTGCATCATAACAGATATTTTCACTATCTTAGTGCTGTTTTTTCCTAACTTAATGTAACTAATGTGATCATGCAGCTGTGCTGAAGTGATATAATTACTGCTTGGCCTATTTCATGGGTGGTAACACCTCTGGGATGATGATGGAAGGCCATCATTGCATATGTTGCGTACAGAAATGCCGATCAGGCAATAATTTCTACGTTCATATATTGAAAAATAGCAAGATTCTTAGGTCCAACACAAATATATCTGAGAACACCTAGACCGGCCACTTGGCATGCAGCATTCAGCAGCCGGTAGTCTATGCCACACTGTTCATAACTGACTCGCTGTGCAGTAACTGAGACATCGCAGGATCAATTATCATGCAGAATGTTTAAAATGAGCCACGATGTATAACCGAGACATTACGTGACTTGGCAAAAAGAAGATGTAGCAGAATGATCTAGGGGCATCTCAATTTACTTTAAAGCAATCTGACCATCCAACCACCAATCCCACTACGGCATCTACTACACGACTTTGACTACAACGCACTTCAACTGTTTCGGGAATATTAAACGCAATTACACTTAATCACCATAAACAAACCAAATATCCGCTAGCAAAGCACTGCCAACTTTTAGTACAACATCGTAAATCTGGTCTTAAGCCCGATTGTGGTATCATTATAGTATGTGTCGATGCCTACTAGTCAAAGCACTTGAGTACCCAGTGTTCTATTGCCCTGGTTTAGTATGACTTGCACTTATGGACGTTTTGACAGGGTTGTCAAAATTTTCCAAAGGCTGTCGTCCGTACTCGTCAGGCTGTGTCATTCCACATAAAACCGGTTTTGCGAACCAGGCCTCCTTCGACAAAGATGAACGATATGTTTTTTTGCTGGTCACAAGGTCTTATCTTACCAAGATGTTGTTTTTCAATTGTGCACCACTTTAATATTTCATAAAGCGTGATTTCGCATCACCTTGAAACGAAAAGCTGCTTCTTCGGAGCCAAACAATCTTGGGATCCACGAAACGTGTTTTCTTTTAATATTGGGATCCAATAAAAGTGGCCAAAGTCCTGAAAAGTCAGTTCTAGCGGAACTTGAGTCAACCTTATCAGCCTAGCGCCTCCCCATCCGATTTTAGAAAGAAATGCCCCTGACATACAGTTTGCGACCAAATGAGGTGCATGACAAACATGGCCGTAGAGACGTTGGATAA